AAAATATATGATTACATATTCCACCATAAAACCTCTTTAAGTATAACCTCTTTTAGAGCCATATATATGGTCTTATATACTTATATATTATCATGTCTGATAATGTAAAAGTATATTTATAAGGTTAAAGATAATCATATATAAACATATACTTGGATCTATCCATAAGTTTACATAACTGTTATAAATATTCTTTTAGTATATTATTTTACTTGACAATCAAATTAATATGAGATATTATTTCTAGTTTCAATTTACACAATTATTGCGTTTTAAGTCCGACAAAGTCCATATTGGCACGCAGTTTAAAAAACTGAAAAATATATTTAATAATAATTAATATTGCTCGGGGGGGTATTTATCGCTCCCCGGATTCACGATTGGCCTGTACGAGGGTGGTTCAAAGGACCAGAGGGCAATCCCCTCACGATTTCGATAAGTGCGAGTTAGGCAAATAAAGCGAGTTACTCATGCGAAGCGACTCACCGTATCGCAGCCCGATGCCCTCTTGGGATGCTCGATCGGTTGATCTGGTTCGTCCTCTCGGCTGACGATAGCCTCCGTGCTAGCGGGAGGAGTGCAGGCAGGCAAGATAGCGCAAGCAAGCAGTCAGGCAGGCAAGAGTGTTACAAGCAACAGTCAAAAACGGGCAAGCAGGCACACGACGTTCTCGCGACGAGTACTCGTTGGTAAACATGAGGCTCGGTGTTGTCGTGTTGGCGAGTCTTACCGGAGTAATCGCTCCGGCGCTCTCTCTCTCTCCGGCTTGCGCTCCTGGAAGTACGGCGCGAGCAAGTACTAGTATCCCAATAATTGGGCCTGCCACCCGCGGGCGGGCAGCACAAGTCGGGTGAGTCGAGCGAATATTGACACCTGTCGCGGTCCGCCAACGTTTCGCGCGAGTCCCAAATTATGATATCGCAATTACCGACGGTAACTCTAACGATCAGGAGCTTAATGACTAATATACAATAAATATACGCAAATCAACAACCATATCAATATTATATACATGCGACAAACCACTATATTACAATTATATACAAATGAGCGCCAACCATGCCGCCCACCAAAATCCAACGTGTTGGATTTTCTTTAATCGGTATCGGTCGCCCGTGATGGCGGGCCCATGGGCAAGGGGCACGGCCTCACCAGGGGCCGCTGAATCGAGCCGTTCGCCCCCGCACCGTGGCGACTTGGATTGCGCGGTGGATTCGTTCAATAACGAGTTCGGTTGACCGACGTTTAGTAGGCAATAGAGCAGGGTGCTTGGTCTCGAATGGCCACCCCGATTCCGCGAGCCGGCCGCCTACCCTGGAAACGCCCGCAGGATCAACACAGCAAAGCAACCTGAGTGATCGCAATAAATGGCTTGTCCATGAGATCGAGGTAATGGTACGCGCGCAAGCGATACTCGTTTGACCTCCGAGTGAGGTCTGGCCGTTTGGCGACACCCGAATGGCGATACGCCAAGACGGCGGTAACGAGAAAGACCGTGAGTATGTAGTGACTCGACGGCGTCTAAACAAAAACTACAACTAAGGGCATACAATAACGACGAACGGACGAGAGACATCACGAGGGGCAAAGGGCGCGCGCCAATGATGTCACGAGGCAATGTGGTCGTCTAGTTTCCGCCTGTATCCCCCGGCGCCGCGGGGTCGTCGACCGGAGTGGCCGCCGGAGCGTTCGCGGGGGACGGGACGCTGGCCTGCTCGAAATGCAGGAAAGAGTGGTGCTTCGCCTGACAAGACCGGCAGGTCCAAGAGCTAGGGCAATTCGTTAGATTATGTCCTGCACGGAGGCAGTTTAAACAGAGTCCCTGTCCACGAGCGAAGTTATGTCGGTCTTTGGTCGAGAGTTTTAAGAACTCGGGGCACTTAGCCAGTAGATGCTGTTCCCCACATTTGGGGCACGCGGCGTTCTGCGCAACGAGCGAAGTCGTCGACGCGGCCTTCCTTGACGACTGATTTTGCGCTGTCGGTTTGTTTGACTGCGGTGAAGTGTCCAATACCGCCGCGAGCACTGTGCAATATCCCGCTAGAAAATTTGTCAGTTGTTCATACCGGGGCGGTTCCGCGGATATATGGGTCGCCTCGAATTTCTCCCGTAGCGTAGGGGTGAGCTTCTCCAACAAATGATTTAGTAGCACAGAATCCCACGCCTCCACCGGATAGCCCATCGTTTGCAGGGCGCGCGTGTTCTCGGTGAACACGTCCAACAAGGCGCGGAGCGATTCGGCGGTATCCGCGACCAAAGGTTTGGCGTGTACAAACGAGCGCCAATACTGCGTGGCTAATTTGCGCTTGTTTTGATAGCGCTCCCGAAGCGCATCGTACGCGATCACGTAATTCTCGGCGGTCAACGGCAGGTTCTTAACGACGCCAAGCGCCTCTCCCGACAGCGAGGCTAACAAATATTGGAATTTCTGTATACCGGAGACCCCCGAATTCTCGTGAATTGCCGTGTCAAATAAGGCGATGAAGGACGATCATAGAGCGAGATCACCTTCGAATTTAGGGAGATCGATCTTCGGCAATCGGATGGCCGAAAGGGGCGCGGGTTGCGATGGCTGTGGGGCGGCTGCTCGCTCCGCGGCGGCTAACGTTTCGTATCGCCCTATTACCGCGAAACGCATCCGGCCAAATGCGTCGCGAATCGCGTCTTCGACAGCGAACTCGTCATCCGTGGCATCTTGTATTATCCTGAGGTGAGCTTTCTCAAAATCCCCGACTACTTGGCGCACGGTTGGATAACGCACGAGAAAATTTGATGTCTGAGCCGCGTTGTCTATTGCGAGCATCGAGTATTGGTCGATCTTCTTCATACGACGAATACACAATTCGCGTCGCGCTCAATATCCTTTAGGCATGTTGAAAGATCAATCCGTCAACAAGGTGAGATATGTGTACACGCGCAAAACAGCCGAAAAACCGACGAACGGTTTCGAATCAAAGGGTCGACAAAGTCAGGAGGATGGCAGCCGGCCAACAACGCACGAAAATATGTCTCGCTTCGGAATGCCGAGACCAAAACAATTTGAATCAATAAACGAAGAACACCGCGCCTCGCCAAGGCCGAAGGGGGGCGGACGGCTCGATTCCGAACAAGTAATCGAAGACGATGGAATATGTTCGAATATTCGATCGCCTTTGATACTATCAAAGTTGCAATGCGAAGTCTGCAACGTTTATGCAGAATTTCAACGCAGCGAAGACGAATAATGGCATGTGCGCGAGCTTTTACAATTTCACTATTTGCGTACAATTACAATTATGCGGATTTCCTCGCCGCGTCGTGCCCATGCGACGGGCGGACGAGGGGGATCACGCGTGGCACTCGGGCACGCGCCGATTATTTCGTTTCCCTGTTATAAAGGCTGCAACGATTATGCAGCGGTTGCAATAAAAATCGAGAGAAGGGCACGCGCGCGTACGACTATAGTCACGCGGATGTCTTCGCCGCGACGAGCAAGCGAGAGCGCAATCACGCAATATGAAGTGGTGCGCGTCAACTATTCGATTTAGCGAAGGTCCGCAACGATTAATGCGGCTACTGGCAAAGTATGCACCGAGGGTGCAACGATTCTGAGAGAATTAATCACGCGGATGTCTTCGTCGCGACGTGCCGATGCGACGTGCGAGCGAGAGAGCGATCACGCGTGTGGTCGAGCTAAGGGCGCGCGCGCGAGAGACGAGATCACGCAGGGCGTGCGTGCCCGCGCCGCTTAACCGCCGTGTTAATAAGGGCTGCAACGAATGCAGCGAGCGGGAATAATCCAGATTATGGCACGCGCACAAACGATATCGCGCGGATGTCTTTGCCGCGACGTGCCGAATGCGACGTGCGAACAAGGGAGCGATCACGCTGTACGCGCGTGCACGCGCTGATTATTTGATTTTACTAGCGGCTGCAACGAATATGCAGCGATCGAGATTGATCGAAATAATGGTACGCGCAACGATCAGATCACGCGGATGTCTTCGCCGCGACGTGCCAATGCGACGTGCGAGCGAGAGAGCGATCACGCGGTGCGAGCGTGCACGCGCCGATTATGCGATATAATGTACGAGACGATTAACGTTGATTAGCAGACTCGCGCGAAAGGTCGGCGGAGTTCTCTAACGCGATTTTATATCCGGCTCGAAAGACCAATGCTCGGGGGGGTATTTATCGCTCCCCGGATTCGCGATTGGCCTGTACGAGAGTGGTTCAAAGGACCAGAAGGCAATCCCCTCACGATTTCGATAGGTGCGAGTTAGGCAAATAAAGCGAGTTACTCATGCGAAGCGACTCACCGTATCGCAGCCCGGTGCCCTCTTGGGATGCTCGATCAGTTGATCTGGTTCGTCCTCTCGGCTGACGATAGCCTCCGTGCTAGCGGGAGGAGTGCAGGCAGGCAAGATAGCGCAAGCAAGCAGTCAGGCAGGCAAGAGTGTCACAAGCAACAGTCAAAGACGGGCAAGCAGGCACACGACGTTCTCGCGACAAGTACTCGTTGGTAAACATGAGGCTCGGTGTTGTCGTGTCGGCGAGTCTTACCGGAGTAATCGCTCCGGCGCTCTCTCTCTCTCCGGCTCGCGCTCCTGGAAGTACGGCGCGAGCAAGTACTAGGATCCCAATAATTGGGCCTGCCACCCGCGGACGGGCAGCACGAGTCGGGTGAGTCGCGCGAATATTGACACCTGTCGCGGTCCGCCAACGTTTCGCGCGAGTCCCAAATCACGATATCGCAATTACCGACGGTAACTCTAACGATCAGGAGCTTAATGACTAATATACAATGAATATACGCGAATCAACAACCACAAAATGTTGCGCTCGCCGAGTCGTTCGTTCACTCGCACTCTCTCTCGCTCGCGCAACCGGCACTCGCGGTTAATGAGACGACACAATGTAAGAAAAGGATAGACTCGTTTATTAAGTAGAGCAAACGAATTTGAACACAGAATCGAGCTGTCACGTCCGCTCGGAGACGGAGGCTCAGAACAAACAACAACAAATCGTAGTAAATCGATATCAATAAACAGCTGGTCGTCAGGGACGATCTTCGACTTCCGTTCGTGCAACGGGTGTCTCAGCGCGAGCGCAACAATATTATATACATGCGACAAACCACTATATTACAATTATATACAAGCAAGCGCTAACCAAATATTGTGAAATATTATTAAGCACCAAGGTCCGCTTCGACCAAAAACTTCACTTCTCATTGCTTATGTTATTTAAAATTTTTTTTTTTCTAATTTTGCATAAGACACTTAATTTTATTTAATTGACATTAATTTTTATTAAATATTTTTGTAAGCAGTGAAATTTTACCTGTAATAATTCGTGAAAAAAACTGTCATATAATATATATTATAGTTATTATAGTTTGTAAATAAATAAACATACCTTATAATTTAAACTTTAAACTAAAAAAAATAATATAATCATATACACAATATTGTATCTCAAAGTATCAGAGAGATGGCATTCGATGGGATCTGTTTCTCGTATTTAAAATTTGACAAACAGTGTTACAAGAACGGTATCAAAAGACACGACACTGTTAATATTAAATACTGTAATACTGTTAATATTTACATGTAATCTCGCGCTATGGAGCGGCACAATTTTTGTATCAGTTGTATCGTGGACTCCACTCTTATAATAAAATAGCATATTTAAAAAATAATACTTGAAAATAACAAATTTCTGAAACTTATTTAAATATATATATGTTCTTATATACATATAATCTTATAGGTGTAATCATATATTTATATATATAAGTCACGTTGTCTGTCTGTCTGTACGCGAACTACTCATTCGATAGTGGACCGAATTTTTACCAAAAGTATATGAAATAGGGGTAGAATTTTCAGGGGATGAAAATGTCGTGGTTAATTTTTCGTTACCGATCTTTTTGGAAACCGGTTCCGAATTTTTTTTAAATTTTATGAGATTTAATTGACCAAATCTCAAAAAATTGTATATGAAGTAAGAGTAGAATGTTCCAAAGAGTGCCATAAAGTGTACAATTTTTCGTTACCGATTTTTTTGGAAACCGGTTACGAATTTTTTCCAATTTTTCGGGAATTAATTGATCGAATCGCAAAGAATTGTATATGAAGTAGGGGTAGAATTTTCCGGGGATTGCCATAAAGTGTATAATTTTTCGTTGCCGATCTTTTTGGAAATTAGTTCCAAAATTTTTTCAATTTTTCTGGAAATAATTGACCAAATCTCAAAGAATTGTATATGCTGTTTGTTTTTTAAACCGCGAGTTTAATTTTTCATTAATGTACTGATTTTCTTGAAACGTTTTCGATTTTTGTTTAAAAAAATATACGTGATTTTTTAAAAAATGTACATTAGAAGACGGTCAGGATGATCTATTGCTAAAAGCAGCACAAAATTATGAAATGGAAAAAGCTGCAAAGGCCAAAAAAAAAATAAATCTTTTTTTTTATAATTTTCGGAAATTAAATCGAGAGCAATTAAGACCGGTTTTTGGAAACCGGTTACGAAATTTTTCCAATTTCTCGGAAAATAACAAGTAGTTCGCGGTCAGACAGACAGACATACAGACGTCAGGTACTTATATATATAGATAGGGGTAGAAAGAACTAAAGAATGTAATAGAATTCGAAAAATTGCTAATAGTAAAGTGGTTTACAATTTCTGTTAAAAAAAAATATACGTGATTGCTCCAATTTCCGGAAACTTTGAGATATCAAGCTGAATTTTTTAATGGATAATTTTTATGGATAATTTTTTGTTACCGATTTTTGAAAACCGGTTTGAAAAGTATTAAAATTTTGAGAAATAATAAGTATTAATTGACCGATTTTTTTGAAACCAGTGCCAAAATTTTTCTAATTTTTTGTTGATAATTTTGATGAAATTGGTACCAAAAAATTACTAATTTTATGAAGATGGCTACTATGGGATTAAAAATTGGGTTTTATGGAGTTCTATTATTGGTGCTCCTAATTAATGAGTGAGTTTGGGGAGAGGGGAATAGACTTTAAGCCCGCGCGAAGCGCGGGCAAAAAATCTAGTGACCATATAAGCTCTTATCAGGCCAACATTCATATATGAGCATATAAGATCGCTTCTTATATGAACTTATAATGTCTTATATAAACATATAAGACATTATAACAGATATTTTTTTATATGTTTTTTATATTCCTTACATAATCTTATATAATCATATATGACCATATAAGATCTTATCAGGCCAAAATTCATATATGGACATATAAGATCGCTTATATGAGCGTATAAGACATTATAAGAAATTTTTTTCCTCGGATGTCCACAAAATATCTATCAAAGATATCCATTAGATATCCACGTGTTATCCACATATCCGTGTCCACCAAGTATCTACCACATGCTTACCACAGATATTTACTAGTTCGTAACGATGCCGCTAAGCGGCACATAATGGTAAGACTAACTCGTAAGTAAATTTCTGTTGGAAAAGAATATAAGCAAGTCCCCGGCGAAGCAAAATCGCGACATCCGCGGGTGCTCAAATTCGGCTCCTCTTTTAAATCTAGAGAAATAATATTTTTGAGATGTAGATTCAACGTTTAAGTGCTTTATGGGGTTTTATTTGTATATAATGGACATATATAAAAATAAAAAACATTGAGTAAATATCTAATCAATATCCACTAAACGTGCAATAGTTATTTATATAAATATCCACTAGATATTTAATGGATGTCCAAATAGATATCCCCATAAATATCCAATGGATATCGAGGATGTAGATGTATCAACATATGATTTTGCGACAATATTTTTTGATACAGAGGATTCGCCTTT